GCATTTTGAGCCTCATGGTCCCATTTGATGGAGAAAGGTCCAACCTTGTAGTACATTTTCGTACTCTTGCAAAGTTAGAACCTTTGAGCCTTGTTGGAAGCTCCAAGGAGGAGTCTTTTTCTGAGTTTGAGTCAATTGAGGTACACCATGATCACCTCTTTGATATTTTCATGATTTTAGCTTGTTTAATCCATTAAAAAGTGAAACTTGAACCATTTGAGCTAAAGGATGGTAATCTAAGTCTAAAACATGTTAATGAACATCTGTTGATGGAGTTATTGAACTCCAGATCACGTTTGGACCCTTAAATATGGACTTATGCAGAGAATGCACGAATTTCTGCATTCTGTCTGATAAGTATTCGAATACTTTTCGTGTAGTATTCGAATACTTATCCTTCAGTAGTCGGATACTCCTTGGAGGAGTATTGGAATACTTTTCTGGGAAGAAAAGTATTCGGATACCGTTGAATAAGTATTCGAATACTGGGTAGTATTCGAATACTGTGGTATTTGTATTCGGATACCTGGTGGTATTCGGATACTGGGGGAAAAGTATTCGGATACCTTGTGGTATTCGAATACTTGAGTGAAAGTATTCGGATACTTTCTGGAGACATGGAGTATTCGAATACTCATCGAGGAGTATTCGAATACCTCCTGCAGAATTTGCATGAAATGGCTTAAAATGAGTTGGAAAGCCTTAATCACTTAATGTAACATTGGGCAATGATTATTGATGATCAATTATTGTATAAAAAGATTGTGATTGTGTTGTTTGTGGGCATTGAGCTAGTGTGAGCTTGGCTTGGATAGTTAGCTTGCGAGGTAAGCTTTCGTGTCCTCGGTTTAGCCATTGTTGGTTCCACCATACCCTATGGGGGGATGGTTTATATGCATGATGTGTTTTCATGTATTGATTTTGAAATGCTGTTGAGCTGTTATGTGCAAGTGCTTATAATATGCATGTGTTGTTCCACCTAGACGGTAAGCATGTGTATGTATGAGACATGCCATATGGTAATTCTGTGGGTGGGTGTAAGTAGTACTTGCATTGAATGTAGGCAATAGATGAATGTAAGTCCCGCATTTCTCTGGCCAGTAGAATAGATGGCACACATGACATGATTATTCTGCTGCATTGCACTGATTTTGGAACTTATATTATTTCCTGCTTTTGAACTTATATTGCACATGTAAGTGAGCTTGGGGTGGAGAAATCCTTGAGGACCCCTTGTCTTACTGAGATTTCTGTTTAGAGATCTCACCCCACGTTTGGGGCACATATTTCAGGTTCAGGTAACTCTGGGATTGAGACCTCGGGCGGCAGGAGGCCGGAGCTGAGTTAGATATATGTTGTTTATGATGATGTGCTTGGTTGATGACTTGCTTATATTTATTATCCTGTTATTTGATCTGAGACTATGTTGGGCTCTGTTGCCTTATTTGGTGAGCATGGGGGTTGTCCATGCCACATTGATTTGACTATGTCTTATTTTAGTTTCGAGTTGTATTAATGTATCAGGATTATGGTCCGGACTATGTGTGATAGATTCGTAACTTAGATACTCACTTATTTATAGTATGAGGTTATTCAGTGTAGATAGCTGTCTATTTGCAAATTACATACAAGCAATGTTTTTAAAAGATTAAGTAATCAACTTGGTAATTGATAATGACGTCATAATTGAAAAGAAAAATTTATTTCGCATATTTAATTAAGCGTGACTTAATACGATGACATGATAACAAACCGGGTATACACGGGATGTTACAGACGGCGACAATGGCGGAGGCGAGTTAATGTTGGCTTGTCACACAAAGGAAACAGAAAGGACAACGACAACGGCATGGTGGAGTGAGCCTCTGGATTTTGCAACGAAAGTGGGTTCTTCGTATAGAAGATGTGCTACGCGGATGAGTGTGTGTGAATTTAGGAATAGTCTACTGTTCAAAACTAAGAGAGAAACTAAGTAAGGGTTACTAAATTAGGAAAAATGACATTAGCAAAATTTCAAAAATAATAAATACATAATACATTGGATCAGTTTGGTTGGGTCAATTTTCACTAATCAAGCCGAAAATCGTTCCAGTCCAATTAAAATATACTATTTTTTATGTTTTGATTTTTTGATTTTTGATTAATTCGATTATCAATTTTTTGTAAACCTTGGGAAATCTTTGTTGTAAACATTGGTAAAGTTTAATTTAAGAACAGAATATTTTTGGGAAAAATAGCCTTAGGGGCCGATTGAGTGCAGAAGCATTTAAGCATGGAAAATTGTTGATAATTGATAGGAATGATTGGAATGTATTCTAATTTTGTTACGTTGTATATTAGGTGCGAAAAACTCTTGAAACTTGGGATTATACGTTGTTGCCTGGTAAAATTTATTGTGACGTTTGAGGTAAGTGTCTGGTGGCATTACCTTTTATGACTGCTAGCTAGTACATGGCAGTTTGAATCGATTGATAAATATTCCTAAATTCAACCCACTTTTTTATATGTTCATGAGTCAATTTTATATATTACAATATAAAAACCTTTATTCCTTTAAAATGTAAAGCTCCAATCTTCAAGCACATATAAATTATAAATGACTTGAAAAAAGAATTACTTTTTAGCACTTTTCTCAAGATGCGACCCCAGCTGCCAACTCCTTTGAAAAAGTGATAACCTTCTGAATATAAAATGAAAAATTCCATAACATGAAAATGAGACCCCCCACGTGATATAGTCAACTAAGAAGTAAGAATAGAGAAAATAAAAAATGCTCTCGCCTCAATAAACAATGAACCCCTTCAATAAACTATATACAAATTTAATGCTAGATCCAATATTGTAAACTAAACAATAATTTCAAACAGATTTACCTTAAATATTGCAAAATAATGTATCTAGATACAACACAGATCTTGTAATGAATGGTAAATTTTTATAATCATTACTTAATATTATGTGTAAAAAAAATTCGGACACATTCATCTATCATTGTTCATTTTTTTTTAATAGATATCTATCATTGTTCTTTAGATAAACTTGTATATACCATTCACACCAACGTTACTGGCGGGGAAAAAAAGCATACAGATTAGAAATTTAAAGATAAATTTATAGTGAAGCCCTATCACACTGAGAATCGAACAACCTTATAAGAAAAACACTTCAATCTTTATTAACTAAACTAATCCTGTTGACACATTAGACCATTTTAATTTTAAAATTTTGCAACAAACAAAAAATGGGCGAAAAAATTGCAAAATTAATTATATATAAATCACGATTAACTTGAACAACTAATATGACATCATGCGTAAATTCATAAAATAACAAATACTATCTGTACCGATATATTTTCATAAAACAATTTACAATCGAAAAATTGTTATATGTTGTCAATTATTTAAATATTATTTTAATTTTTATAATTGGTTATTTGACATTTATAATAGGAGAAGATTCATCGTTAATATTATTGTTAAAATAATATGAATACTGTTATTTTTGCATAATTTTTATTACATTTTTATATTTTCATAATAAAACAAAGAATTGCATATTGAACCAAATGGTGGTAGCTCAGTTGGGGCATGGGAACTGAGCAGGTGGAGGTGAGAGCATGTATTCGCACCTTACCAGTACTATCTTTGGAAGAGGTTTAAAGCCTTAATCTTGGACCCGCCCCGAATCGAACTAGTCGCGAAGCGATGAATCGATGGAATATTTTCAAAAAAAAAAAAGAATTGCATATTGATAGAATCTTTCTCTATTTTTTTTATTTAAAAAAGTGGAACAATAGTATTATTTATATTTGGAATTAATATTTTTTTTATTATAGGAGATAAATTTATTTCTTACATACATATAAAAGTGTGTAAAATTCATGTTTTATCTTTCTCTTTCTTCCTCTCATATGGCTTCACATGAGCCCCATATATTTTTTATATATATATAAAAGATAAAATTATCTTCTGTAACATAAAAAATATTAATCTCTATTTTTGATTTATGTATAAATTTTTCTTTTTAATAAATATAAAATTCATCATTAATTAAATATTTCTATGCAACACGAGAAGTATTTGACCCATTTTAATATAACATTACTTAAATATCTATGTCTCCGCACAGTTGACACTTGACAGTGTGCCCTTATCTCTTTTCACATGCTATGATCAGCAAGCAATTACTAACACTGCTACCATGGTCCACCATTTCCACCTTTTCCTTTCCATTCCACACAATGCCACAACCCACTGTCTCTGAGTACTGTGGAACTTAACAACCAACAGTCAACCACCTCCCAGTCACAACCGTCACTACCTTCAACCGCCACGCGCCTCCACATTAATCCGGGCGTCTCCGGCAACAGGTCAAGCATCATATCCCTCTCCTTTTAAGTTGAGGTCACTAATGTCTAACTAACCAAACCATTGGTTAGCTTCACCACAATAAATACCAATACCCCTCTCTCTCTCTCTTCTTAAATAAAAGGGCTCTCTATCCTTGCTGGTATTGGCATTTGGAGACATCTATCCACACTTATAAATATAATTACCCATTACTTCATCCAAAAAAATATATATATATATTAATTGGGTTATATTTTTCTAAAATTACTTTAGAAAAATTGTCAGCCAGTTATCAATTTTAATTATATATTATTGATAATATATAATTATAATATAATTTTTTTTTCACTTTTCATACCAGCTGATATGATTGAGAAGAGAATTTTCTTTTTTCATATTATAACTATATATTATCAATAATACATAATTAAAATCAATAATTTTATATAAACTTATCTAAAATTAATTTTAGAAACGTTTTTCCCATATTAATTACCCATTACATTTTAATTTTTTTGACGGTATGATTATTGCTTAGTTTAATTTAAAACTTTCCCACTCAAGTTCCGATTGTTAGGTAACTAGTTTCTTAAAATTGTGCAAAGGCATTTTTCTTAACCTCCTCGTGGTAGCTCTGACACTGGTTCACAGAAACCAGCGAGTCACAAAAACACACAGCACGTGTTCGGAATATACATCGCTTAATTGTTTATAGCATTATTTGAGTCACTGAACGAGTCAGTGGACCCACTCAGACCCTCCACCATTTGTGAACTTCACTTTGTTTCTATTTTCCATCTCTTGTCTCTCACTCAGTGACTCTGTCAAACACAACAACTTGCGAACAATGACGAGAAAGGTGTCGAATTTCTCCGATCTGATCCAAAGGGTCACCGCCTCTTGCCTCCTCCACCCCCTCGCCGCCGGTGTCAAGGAAGAAAACTCGCCGTGCGAATCGGAAGAAAACAGGTACGAAGAAGAGGGCGAAGAAGATGAAGACGAAGAAGAAGGAGAAGGAGAGGAAGATAAAGGGTACGAGGAAGAGAATGGAGAGTATGAGGAAGAGAAAATGGTGGGGTTGAAGGGTTTGAAGGTGAAGCAGATGGAGGCAGTAATGGAGGATGTGTTCGAAACCGTGTCGTCAATGAAGAGAGCGTACGTGAGGTTGCAGGAAGCGCATTCGCCGTGGGACCCGGAGAAGATGAGGGCTGCTGACGTGGCGATGGTGGCGGAGCTGAGGAAGCTCGCCGTGTTGAGGGAGCGGTTCCGGCGCAACGGTGACGGCGGCGGTGGTAGGAGGAGGGTTCGGAGGAGAGGTGGTGGTGGTATTGGTGCGGTGTCGCTGAGGGAGGTGGTGGCGCCGTACGAGGCGGTGGTGGAGGAGCTGAAGAAGGAGGTGAAGACAAAGGATTTGGAGGTTCAGAATCTGAAAGAGAAGCTTGAGAATGTAGTTGCACTCTCCAGCAATGGCAGTGGTGAAAAGAAGCCTGGGAGGTCTCAGTCTAAGAGGAAACTAGGAATTCAAGGTTAATTATGCAAGCCCTTCTTTTTTAATTTATTTTTTTTCAGTGAAGATTTTTTTAATGTTTGCATGGCTAGAAAATTCAGAAAAAGTAATGTTTCTTTTTGTTTTATGTTGTTGCTTTGAAGTGTCCTTTTATTCAAAGTGATTCTTGCATGTGCATTTTAGTTTAGTTTTTTGGAGAATTCCCAAATGGCATGATTTGGAGTTTCAGAAACTCCTTCAAGTTAAACCAAAGTTGCTACTTGCTATAAGTGGAAATGAATAGAGGATCTTATGCTCTATTCAGGTTGGAAATTGCTGCTTGAATATTGAAATCTCAGTCTTTTTTTGTGAAATTCTTTTTGCAGCAATTGCAGCAGTTCCAACCCCGGAACTCTTTGAAGCAACAATGGTGCAAGTAAAAGAAGCATCAAAGTCCTTCACATCTCTACTCCTGTCTCTCATGCACAATGCACATTGGGATATCACAGCTGCTGTTCGTTCCATTGAAGCAGCTACTGCCTCCACTGACAAATACCATATTACTTCAACCACTTCCATTGTCTCATCTCACCATGCCAAGTATGCCCTTGAATCCTATATATCCAGGAAAATCTTCCAAGGGTTCGACCACGAGACTTTCTACATGGATGGTAGCCTCTCCTCCCTCCTCAACCCTGACCAGTTTCGCCGCGATTGCTTCACTCAATACCGGGACATGAAGTCCATGGATCCTACAGAGCTTCTTGGAATCCTACCAACATGTCACTTTGGCAAATTCTGTTCCAAGAAGTACCTTGCTATTGTCCATCCCAAGATGGAGGAGTCATTGTTTGGTAACTTGGAGCAACACAGTCAAGTCCAAGCAGGAAACCACCCCAGGAGTGAGTTCTACACTGAATTCTTAGGGATGGCCAAAACAGTGTGGTTGCTGCATTTACTGGCATTCTCATTGAACCCTGCACCAAGTCAGTTTGAAGCAAGTCGTGGAGCTGAGTTCCATCCTCAGTATATGGACAGTGTGGTGAAATTTTCAGGTGGGAGAGTCCCAGCTGGTCAGGTTGTAGGGTTTCCAGTCAGCCCTGGATTTAAGCTTGGGAATGGGTCTGTTATAAAGGCTAGAGTTTATTTGATTGCCAGAACATAAGTTTTTTGGGAGTCGTGTTTTAAAGGAGCTGGTGAGAGTGATCCTAACATTTGCCTAACAGCATTACCATTCTACTGATGTAATGTGAAAATCCTTAGGCTTTAGTTATTGATTTCCTGGTGAATTCAGCTTGATCATGCGTTATGACAGACTATGTTGTATCTGACCTTGAAATGATTATGATATAGTTAATTCTCAAATCTATGAAATCGAGTTAATACTTTTTCCCTGGAACTTTGGCTTGCAAACGAGAGGAAAGGAGAATTTATTAGATTCCCTGAATCCAAATGTACTTGGGGTCACCAAGGGAACCAACAAAATCCATCTTCTGTATCAATGGCAACAAGTCTCAACAATATTTGAATAGAGAAATAAATTATAAACTCTAAATAAATGTAAGTGTTAATACATGATTCATTTCATTCGTCTATTCAATGAATTTCCAAGAAAATGATACATCATGTCGATACAGTACAGTGTAGAACTTTCATGTAAATGTAATTTGACGCTCTATTAATTGGCCAAGAATATATGAACCGTGGCATCCACATGGCTCAACTAGGAAACAAATATAGCAATTTAATTTGACGGTTTATTCGTTGAGTAAGAATATATGAAGCGTGACATCCATCCAAATCACAGAAGTAGGAAACAAACGTAGAAAGGCGACCTATCTCTTGGAACAATTCTGTTGACCATATTGGGAGCACTCATCCGAGAAAGAACACTATTTCTGCTACTTGAATCTCAATCATGAAGAGTAACAACACTTATCCTCTAAAAACTCTCTTGACCTGTCGCATGGATCAAATATTGAGCACTTTCAATATTGACAAGCAGAATCATACAGTCATATACAATTTCATGTTAAGTGAAGAAGACCCACAAAACAGTTAATGATACCAAAAGGTAAAAGCAGTCTCTTGTTATTTACGAGGCCAAACACAGTGGTGTTATTTATCACAAAAGTAACTAAAGAGGCAATTTTATGGGGAAATTCACCCTCGTTTTAACTGAATGCGAGTTTAGAGAGGTGGCCATTCTGTTCGTATATGACAACTTCCAGACAAGATCTACGTATTTGGTTGTGATCAAGGTGAAAAATAGAAGTTACTAAAAGCCATTTTCTCTTGAGTGCATGTGATATTACAAGCTGAGGCAGAAGAAACAAATTTGTAGAAATTATTGTATTGAATTGTAAAATCTTCATTGAAAATATTGATAAAACCAAGACAGACCTACCGTACCCTTTTTAAGCTGTGAAACTTAGCATATACATGTGGCTCAAACCTTAAAGCAGGACATTTATATATGGATAATAAGGTGCAATACGATATATAAATTACATAAGGTAATATTAAAGATGTATATCTTACTTGTTCAAGTGTAAGAAACATAACCACATTCCAGGCTCCTATTCGACCAAAATTAGGAAGGAAACCTTTATAGAAGGCCAAAAATCCCTGCAATACATTTGTGACATGAGTTTAAGTTGTCCAGAGAAAAAGATAAACTTACACAAACCCTCATGTCAGCTTCTAAACAAAACAACAAGCTGGCAGCAACTGTCAAAAATATTTTCAGTTTGTTCCAGATCAGAGCAACAAACGTTGCACAAGTAAGAAAAGTTATTTTCATTGTTTGAGAATTCAGTGCTGCCTATAGCCTGTTTAATTAAGCATTAGAAAGTTTGTGTCTGGTCTCCCATGTCACCTAATATAATTTAGGTCTTAACCAGAGATGTTCGTAAAACAATCAGAACAACCAAAATAAAGACTTAACATAACAACAAAAGATGCTAATTACTGTAATGAATCTTTCAATTTCGATAGGTTTCAAGATTTTAAGGTGCCATTTATAAAGGACAAAATCAAATAAGGAAGAAGTTCACAAACCTCAGTAAACAAAGTTTTGAGAAAGCAGTCAAATGTGCTTTTGTAGGTTGAATCTCCCATCATCCTGGATTTCACCTGGAAAATTGTAAGCATGGACAAATCATCATTCGGAAAATTTAGATGGTTTTGCTTCATAAGAGTTTCACCAGAATTGTTCAATTGAACATTTTCATGTACCCAGTATTGAATCTTGCAATAGTTCTGAAATTTCAAAATACCAAGTTCCTTATAACTTCACAAGGATGTTTAAGAGAGAACACATTCAGAATTTTTGAAAGTAAATTTTACTTATAGAGTGTTTGATTTCTTCCATTTTTTTAAAAAAAAAAATTACACAGGATCCAGCACCAACGTTGTTAGCTTTATCTTTGCATGATCCAGCACCAAAATGTTATACCAAAAGATTAAGAATGTGCCCTTTTCTTCTCTTTCTGTCTCTTTTCATTATAAACAGGACTGTCATTATTACCAATGATATGTTTATCTTAAATGCAAGTGCAGACTGCTGACAAAAAAAAGGCAGAAGGGGGAGGGGCTGGGGTAGCACCTACCACATCAACGGGAGAACCAACAAAGACAGCAAAAAGACCAGCACCTAAGCCAGCTAGGAGGTGAGTAAAGACATTGTCCATGAACCCTGGAATTTTCAAAATTGTCTGCATAAGTATAAAGAATCAGAGCAGCATTGCGATTAAATTCTATGTAAAGCAACAACTTTCAATAATAGCAAAAGTCCAATTTAGAATACCCTATAATGTGATTACCCGTTTCACTTGATCATAACTAGCTAGTTCAGCAGCATTTATAATTGCATTCCGTGCTATATTGGGCCCAAGACCAGTCCACAAGGCCAATAACCCTTCCTAGTTTAACAAAATATGACTCAATTAGTACATTGTCAACATATAGAAAGGAACAAAACCAAAAAACTCATCAGAAGAAAGTCTGACTTGTCTCGCTATAGTTGAATACGCATCCATAGCACCGGAATAACGCCTAGGTACCCCAGATGGCAATTGGCCTTCAGCTTGAAGCCTAACTTTGACTAGATCAGTTGGATTAGCAATCGTGATTGCCAAAGCACCTATCACAAGTTCAAAAAAGAGAGTCAGTAACTATAACATATAATGCAGAACAAAACACACATAGATGGATATACACGAGGAATGCTAACCTCCTCACCTTTGTGTAGAGGTAGAATCCTCCAAACTTTCAACTGGACAAGGAACCACTCTCTTTATTTAGAAGGAAATACAACTAGTGATCATTCAAATCCTTTCGTTAAAAAGACAAATCTAATTAATTCTCTTTTGAATTTCCTCATCCCTTCACATTTCCCTTCTCTCTCAGATTTACAAGCTTTTTTTTTTTCAACTATCTATATTATCTGGATTCGAAGTCATTGATTTGACTCTAAAACAACATCATGCAATTACAATTTCACATTTATGAAAAAGCCTTGTGCTTCAGAACCAAGATGAAGAAATTGCTTGATAAGTAGATAAATAAGTAAAAACACACACTGCTAAAATTCTAACTTTCATGTGAATCCGGATCAAATGAAAGTACTTCAAGCTATTTATGCCTTTTAAAAATTAGAATGGTTTTTTGTCCCATTGAAAGCATGGCGAATGCTAACCTCCCCACAAATGTGAGCAGGTCAATAAATGTGAAGCAATCTGAACAAATAGAAACTGTTGAGAAAGTCCTCACCAGTCAGCAGAGCAGCAAGTATCATATGGTACAAAGGAACCTCTCCAACAAATGCACTACCAACAAGAAACGTTTTGACCTGTCCATTATGCAGTTCATATGTACAACCCATGTTCCTCCAAGGACAACATAGTCTTATTCAACAAAAGGAAAAACATTTTATATACTCACAGGATCATATAACCCAATTCTTAAGCCCCCATATAAACATTGACGATGCAAACCAGGAACAATGCCTTTCCACAGAGCTGATACACCCTCTTCTCTTGCAATGGTCTTAACCGTTCCCAGCAAGCCCTTATATTTAGGTAAACCCACATCATCATCAACCCCAACCTTCTTTTGAAGTTGAAGTCTAACCTTAGCTGTATCCAGAGGAATTGTACAAAGCTGCACGAAACTCAAAAGAACAAAGATAATTATCAATAAATCGAATGCCCTAACGTATACTTCAATTTCAATCGAATGCGAGTAACCTAGCACACATGCTGAATCAAAAAAACTCGAAATCGAAACGGATTGAAGAGGGAATTGAAGGAATGAAGGTTACCTCGGCGAGACAAGCAGCAAAAGCACTGCACAAGAAAGATTGTGCAAATGAAATCTGGTTCGGATCTGACATTGTTGTTGGTGTTGGAGATGAACTGTGAAGAAAGGTAGATTTGGTAAAAACTAGAAGCAACCTCTTTCAATTAAATCAAATCAAATCACATCATCAACGAGTTCAACGAGTTCACTGTATAAATATACAGTGAACAGTGATTATTCAAGTTAGTTTAACTTGCTAAACTAATTCACCTTCACAGGTTTTACTGAACCTTGATGAAGAAAAAAAAAATGATAAATATAATTGTCATCTTTCTACATTACCTTGTCATCTTTTTTAAACGAGAGGATATATTTTTTCTACATTACTTAATTTTATGAGAATGTGATAAAAAAATTTTATACGCAACAAAAACAGAAATATTATTTATTTATTTATTAAGGATTTATTGTTTGTATGTCTATGTACACATAAAAATATATGAGACTTATATTTTTTTTTATTTTTTCATATGATCCCGCGTGGGCTCTACACATATATATATGGAAAAAATATTTTTCAAGCAGCTTGAGATAAGTTTATTTTCGGCCACTCCAAAACTACGTCGTTCCATTTATTGATTTCCTTATATTAATTGATTCACTTTGAATAGTGATGATTCTCTTTTTCTCTCTCTTCCTTTATCACCATTGATCCATCTTTATATGGTTATGATTTAGTAGCTGGAGATAAAATTATCTCAAGCAGCTTATTACAGATAGTTATACGAGCTCCATTCTCCTACGATCACGTACTGATGGAGTTGTGGAGTTATTTATTCAGTTACTGTTTAGTTATTATAACAATTTCAGTTAGATTTAGTTACCGCGTTTTTAGGATGTAGCTCGTGTATATAAGAGCATTAGTAGTTAACTCATTAGTTAGTTTTTCATATTTTTCTCTTCAATTAATCAATGAGAATCCAGAGTATTCTTCCAGCTCATTCAGTTTCTATGGGTTTTGTTATGGTATCAGAGCTCTGGTATTACATTTTCCTTTGTTTTCTTTTCTTCTCCGAAAGTTCATTCTCCATGGCAAACCAGGCTTCTCTTCCTAATCATCTAACAAACCCTTCAAACCTTCTTTATCTGCATTCAAGCGAAAGTCCCTCGGTTGTGCTTGTTAATCCAATTCTTGATGGTAAGAATTACCATACTTTGCTTAGAGCAATGAAAATGGCATTGCGGTCCAAGAACAAGTTTTCCTTTGTTGAAGGAACGTTCACCATCCCTGAAGCTACAGATCCAACTTTCCAAGCATGGGACCGATGCAACACCATGGTTTCGTCTTGGATTCATAACTCAATTCTTTGGATTGAAAAAGCTCATGAAGTTTGGAAGGATCTTGAAGAACGATTTTCACAATCGGATATCTTCAGGATAGCTGATATACAAGAAGACATTCATCGTCTTCATCAAGGTGATTCTTCAGTAAGTGATTTATTTACTGAACTTAAGACACTTTGGGATGAACTGGATAATCTCCAGCCATTACCAAAATATGTCTGTGGAGCTTCTGATAACCTGAAAAAGTCTAGAGAGCAAGATCAGGTGATAAGTTTTTTAAAAGGTCTCAATGACCAATTTTCACACGTACGTTCTCAAATAATGCTCATTGAGCCACTGCCTAATATGAACAAGGCATTTTCTTTAGTCTCTCAACAAGAACGCCAGATGAATGTCGAACAAGGTGTTCCGGGAGAAATTTCAATTGGATCAAAGGCATATGTAGCTGAACAGCAACGAAATCGCACAGTACCTTTTGGCAGAGGTAGAATTGGAGGACGAGGACGTGGGACGAAGCTTTGCACATACTGTGGACGTACCAATCACACAGTTGAGACGTGCTATGCTAAGCACGGTTATCCACCTGGATTCAGAAATAAAGGGAAACCTGCTTCCGCTAATGCAATTGATGTATCAGACGAAAATACTCGTCGTCATGAAGAGAATAAAGTATCTCTGTCTCAACAAGAATATCAGAATTTTCTTCAGTTGATGAATCAATCAAAAGTTGATACAGTAGAGGAAAATAACTCTCACACTGCACACTTTGCTCAAGCAAAACATGATGTGCATGGTGTAGCTTTCAATACTAACTCTGGTAAGATTTTTAAGCATTGGATAATCGACACTGGGGCAACCGATCATATAAGTTGCTTTGCTTCTTTATTTTGTTCATTAAACAAAATTGATCCTATTACTATTACTCTTCCCAATAATTACAAAGTGGTTGCCAATTATTCGGGAACAGTAATTTTATCTCAACATTTACATCTTTTTGATGTTCTATATGTCCCTGAATTCCATGTGAATCTAATATCAGTTACAAAATTGTTAAAATCAGCATCTTGTGAACTGATTTTTCGTGACTGTGATTGTCATATAAAGAAGATCTCCTCGAGGCAAGTGATTGGTTCAGCTAAAATGTTCAAGGGACTCTTCATTTTGATTCCTGATGAGAAAGCAGAATTGAAGGAAATAAGTGCAAAATTAGATAACAGAAATAAGTGTGTGCTTAATGCCACAACAGATAACTCAATGCTATGGCATTTTCGTTTAGGACACATTTCTCATTCGGTTATGATGGATATGTGTAAAATATTTCCATTCATATAATGTAATAATTCTGATATTCCATGTGACATATGTCATTTTGCCAAGCAACGCAAACTGCCTTTCAATAATAGCTTATCTGTAACACAAAAATCTTTTAATTTGCTGCACATAGATATATGGGGTCCCTTATCAACTTTATCTGTAAATGGTGATAGGTACTTTCTGACCATTGTTGATGATTATTCCAAGTTCACTTGGATAATTTTGATGAAAAACAAAGGAGAAACAAGAATCCACTTGCAGAACTTCATAACAGTGATTGCAAATCAATTTTCCACAACTGTGAAAGTCATTTGCACTGATAATGGTGCAGAGTTCATGATGGATCAATTTTATTCAGCTAAGGGCATTACACACCAGACATCTTGTGTCCAAACACCTCAGCAAAATGGTGTTGTGGAACGTAAACACCAACATATTCTCAATGTGGCACGAGGATTGTTGTTCCAAGCTAAGCTCTCCTTAAAATTCTGGTATTACTGTGTATTGCATGCAATTCATTTGATTAATCGAGTTAGCACTCCTCTCCTTGATGGTAAAACTCCATTTGAGGCACTTCATGGAAATTCTCCATCATTTGTTCATTTAAGAGTCTTCGAGTGCCTTTGCTATGCAAATACTCTCGCTGCTATGCGCACAAAGTTTTCACTGCGTGCTCGCAAATGCATTTTTCTTGGATATAAAAATGGTACAAAAGGGTATATTTTACTTGATTTAAGCTCCCATCAAATATTCACTTCACGAAATGTTATCTTTTATGAAACTCATTTCCCATTCCATGTAAACCAGAATGATTCAACACAAACAGACATTGTAAAACCTATTACCCCAGCTTCCAGCTTCACTGATGATCCTTTCAATCTCTCACCTACCTTTCCTAAGCCTATACCCATATACTCAGCACCTATCTCTCCAAACCCAATACCCAACAATCACAACAGCAACCAACCAAACCAAATTCCTCATATAAGAACCTATGATCTACCAGATAACTCTCCTCGTCGTTCCATAAGACAACGACGTACTCCCTTCTACCTTCATGACTTTCAATGTAACATAACACAAAAGACTCCTTATCCTTTAGCCTCTGTCCTCAATTATAATTCTTGTTCATCTTCTCATGCCTCTCTTTGTTTTACCCTCAACATAATCACCGAGCCTTAATCTTATGCTGAAGCTTCCAAGCATGAATGTTGGCAATAGGCCATGGTTGCTGAACTCGATCCTCTTAAAATGAACAATATATGGTGCTTCACTGATCTACCACTAGGAAAACATCTCATTGGTTGCAAATGGGTTTTCAAAATCAAGCTTAAGGCAGATGGTACCATTGAAAGACATAAGACAAGGCTGGTTGCCAAAGGATATACTCAGCTTGAGGGTGTGGACTTCCTCGATACATTCTCCCCAGTGGCTAAGGTTGACACCATTCGTATCTTGCTATCAGTAGCCACTGCGAGGGGGTGGATATTGGAACAACTTGATGTTAATAATGTATTTTTGCATGGAGAACTCAATGAGAAAGTTTACATGTTGCCACCTCTTGGCGTTAGAACTTCTCATCCTAATCAAGTCTACAAGTTACAGAAATCCTTGTATGGATTAAAGCAAGCAAGTAGGCAGTGGTTCTCACGCCTTAGCACATCATTGATCTCTGTTGGTTTCAAACAGTCACATGCTGATCACTCTTTGATGATTAAATCACGAGGAGAGTCCTTTACAGCTCTACTAATATACGTAGACGATATTGTACTTGCAGGGAATGATAAGTCAGAAATATATTCAGTGAAGAAATTTTTTGATGCTGAATTCAGGATTAAAGACCTTGGAAATCTGCACTATTTCTTGGGTCTTGAGATACAACGTTTAGAAGATGGCTTATTAATAAACCAGTGCAAATATGCACTGGAACTCATATCTGACGGTGGGATACTAGGAGCTAAGCCATGCTCCACTCCCTTGGAACCAGGTTCCAGACTAGAACGCGATAAGGGAAAGCCACTTGAAGATCAAGCTAGCTATCGAAAACTCGTGGGTAGGTTGTTATATCTAACAACGACACGTCCTGACATCTGCCATGCTGTATAACAGTTGAGTCAGTATGTGTCCAACCCCACTGATTTGCACATGAATGCAACTTTACATGTTCTGCGCTATTTGAAAGGAGCACCTGGGAATGGATTGTTCTATTCATCTAAGAACAATTTAGAACCTAGTGGATTTGCTTATTCGGATTGGGCAACATGCCCGGATAGCATACACTCAATAACTGGATATTGTGTCTTTTTGGGAACAAACTTGGTTACTTGGAGATCGAAAAAGCAAGGTACTGTATCAAGGTCTTCCTCTGAAGCTGAATATATGGCCTTAGCTGCAATTGCTTGTGAGTTACAGTGGACCAAGTTTTTGCTTGAAGACTTAAATGTGAGTTTGTCCAAGGCAATACCGGTTTACTGCGATAATAGATCAGCCATTTATTTGGCTCACAATCCAAGCTTTCATGAGAGATCAAAGCATATAGAGATAGACTATCATTTGATTCGTGAAAAGATCAATGATGGTTTAATTCATCTTTTGCCAATATCATCAGAATCACAACTAACAGATTCGTTTACTAAGAATTTATCTGCTGGGCCATTCAAGTACTTGATTAACAAGTTGGGTCTTCGCAACATCTACCTCCCAACTTGAGGGGGGATATTACAGATAGCTATACGAGCTCCATTCTCCTACGATCACGTACTGATGGAGCTGTGTAGTTATTTATTCAGTTACTATTTAGTTATTATAACAGTTTCAGTTAGATTTAGTTATCGCGTTTTTAGGATGTAGCTCATGTATATAAGAGCATTAGTAGTTAACTCATTAGTTAGATTTTCATATTTTTCTCTTCAATCAATCAATGAGAATCCAAAGTATTCTTCGAGTTTATTCAGTTTCTATGGGTTTTGTTAGCTTGAGAAAAGATAAGCCCTATATATATATATATATAAGAGATAATTTTACCTTCTATAACATAATAAACATCAAACCCATTTATTAAACTGAGATAGATCATTCACTCAGTTCGGATAACATATAAATTAAATTTATATAAAAATATATAATAAACATATAAATAAAAGTAATATGACTACCAAAATGATCTGAGTTACATTCCAGTTCCCTTTTTTTAAGTGCCAATTTTGAATCTCAAAAGTACTTATGGTGGAATTTTTTTGCACAATTTTCAAAAATTGTTTCATCCAAAAAACCAATATCGAGTTAGTTAAACCCGATTTGTGATTGGTTCGATAGTTCTTAACTGGATTGTATGTATGATCGGTAAATTGATTGAACTGAACTGATTAATAATGTGGTTCTACTTGTCCGATAAGTCGGATTAGGTCAATTTTAATAACATTGATCTTGTGTATCCTAATACAAATTATATTTTGGATTTCGATTGATAATTTTTTTTTTATTTTGATTCCCGTGGAATGAAAATTTTCATTCAACTCCTGAAATATATTGGTAAACATTTGCGGTACTGAGTCTTAATGATAGTTAGGTGCGATGTCATGTGAGTAATTTTCTTTATGATTACTTACCCGATACCCCAACTAACATGTGACTTGGCATAAACTATGAAGTCAGTGTACTATATATACTTTATATCTATGTTGCACTGACATCGATACGGAATATGAGATACGATACGACACGATATTTCAACATGTTAATTTTTAAAAATGTCAATTTTCGACACGTTAGGACACATTTTGATATTCTATAATATTTTTAATTTATATAGTGTATATTACATTTAATATTCAATAATTTAATAAAAAATAAAGTTAAACTTATAATATCTATTAATTTTGCAAAGAAATATAAGATATCCCAAATGTTTATATTAAACTCAATAAAATAGTAATCGTAATCCAATGAATTTAATAGTTGAAACTCAAAATGCAACGCAATGTAACCTTTCAACCTTTTTTGAGTCTTTGCAATAAGTATTGGAGTGTCAAGAAGTGTCAGAGTATCGGTGAATATGAGAAGTGTCGGACACGACACGTGTGAAATTTTGAAGTGTCGGTGTTTCATAGCTTTATATGATAGTTATTTTATTATAGTGATATATATTTTTTCAGATGGAGAATCTAATGGTACATTTAAACTTGTATATTGGGGAAAAGATAGATAAGCTATTAATGTTTCTATTTAATATCATTTTTGGTTACTAACGTTAACGTCGTATTAATTTAGTCAATGAAAACTTTAAAATAAATCCACTTTAACTAACACAACAATACTAATTAATTAATTACGCAACATCCTTTTCATGGTTTAAATGGGTTAAACTAGTCAAAACCAAGACTCATTAACAGGGTTAAAATTGTAATGTGCTTTTTTCTTTCCTTTATTTCCAAAAAATAAATAAAATTGTAATGTGTGTGTATAAAGTGTGGGCCTATGAAGATAGATCTGTTAATGGAACTAACAGATATGAGCCCAATACTATTAATAAGCAATTTTTTTTTTCAAACAAAAGTAATTTTTATTTATTACGTGTATTTGGATCTAATTTTTTTTAAAGAAGTAAAATTAAAAAAATTGAAAATAATATATATTTTTTCTATAGCTAAGATACCTTATTTATGAAAAAGAGATAAAATCTAAATATTTTTTCAAAATTCAATTTGTTCTAATCCCATTCTACCATTACAATCACATATCATTTTTAAAAATTTTATATATGAAAAGTACTTATTAATTTTAGGTTCGCTTTTTCTGCAGTTACTACAGATAAGTTATCTGCAGTAAGCCCAATACGACGTCATTTTAGGCCAAAATCATGGTAATTTTTGTAATTTTAATTTATTTCAGGGTTATAATAGTCTTTATATTTATAATTTTTTAAGATTTCAATACCAAAACGACGTTGTTTTGAGAATAAATGCAGATAATTTATTTGCAGTAACTGCAGAAATATTTTTCCATTAATTTTAACATGAAAACAATTTTTTTTACTCAAAAGACCTTTTTATATTCTCCATCCAACTGCAAGATAATCTTAATTTAAAAAAATTAAAAAATAAGCCATAAATGTTTTTAAAAAAATTCCATACAAAGGAACTCTAAAATTGGTTCTCAAAAGTTTTGAATTTGATTCCCAGAATACACATTACACAATCAACTTGTATAACTTTCAAACAAGAGTGTTCATCAACCAATTCAAATCGCGGTGACCGAATTGAAAAATTAATAATTGAATAAATTGAAAATCGAAAAATCGAAAATAAAACAAAACTGCAAATTTTAATTGGATTAGATCGATTTTCGGATTGATTAATGAAAACCGATCCAATACAAACCGATCCAATATATAAATTCTCCTATACTTACTTGGACTTCCCCCCAATCATAATCCAAAAATTTATAAACTCAAGACCCATTAACCCATCACTAAACTCAAGAAAAAATATAGTCACATCTCATCAACAAAATTTCATCTATGTAAAGCTTCATATATTGCCAAAAAAAAAAACTATATTATCATTTATTGATGCTTTTGTATTTCAAAAATAAAATAAAATTACAAAGTCAATATATACCAAAGATGTTATTTGCACAATAATCATAAAATAAATTTTAAGATTTTCAAAAAATTGAAAACCGATCCAACCCAAATCGAAAAAATTTGGTTTGGATTGGATCGGATTTGAAAAAAATTCAAATCGAATGGATGATTACATAATCAAATCGAAAGAATTGGATCGAATAATTTTTGCTTTCAAAACCGATTAAATCCAGACTGCGAACATCCCTACTTGCAAATGTCCCACAAAATTTCCTTTTTTGGGTATATAAAAAATAAAATAATATTCTACATTTATTAACATAAACCCTACAGAAAGAAAAAGAGAGAGAAGAAGAAAAAAAAAAAATGACCAAGAAAAGAAGAGAGTTCCCTCCATACATTCCATAAAAAGTCATGGCGGGAATTCAATTATTTCAGCCACTCCCGCCAAGAGGTTCCAGAACCTTCCACTATATAAACCCTTTCCCTCCCCTTTTCTTCCCTCTCATTTATATTTTCTGAGAAAATCGAACCTTCAAAACCCTAACCCTAAGGAAGTGTTACCAAGTCTTCGATCGATATGTTGGAACTTCGTCTGGTCCAAGGTTCTCTCCTGAAGAAGGTGTTGGAGGCCATCAAGGAGCTCGTGAACGATGCGAACTTCGATTGCTCCGCCACTGGTTTCTCTCTCCAAGCCATGGACTCCAGTCACGTAGCACTGGTGGCTCTGCTTCTCCGGTCGGAGGGATTCGAGCATTACCGCTGTGACCGCAACATCTCCATGGGCATGAACCTCAACAACATGGCCAAGATGCTGAAATGCGCCGGAAACGATGACATCATCACCATCAAGGCCGATGACGGCAGCGACACCGTCACCTTCATGTTCGAAAGTCCAAGTACGTTTCGTTTTCCCGAACATTTGTTTTTGTTTTTGGAATTTTGGTCTAAATTCAATGTTTTAGGGTTTGGTGTTTTCTTTTTTCTTTTTCTCTTAGTATGGTGTGGAATTGTGTTTGTAGGTCTTGACTGAGTACGAAGCATCTCTGATGTTTTTCGTTTTCTTTAGCAGCGATTTGTTCTGTTTTGAAAGTTTCTGCCTCATTCATAGCTGTGTTCGCTTTGGAAAATGTAATCTGAAATTTCTTACGATATTTTAGGGGTAATTCTTTAAGGAATATGTTACCAATGAAATGATGTTTGCAGCAAACTTAATTGTCCCAGGCTTCCCTAAATTTTAGGGTTTTAGTGTTCAGTTTTATTGAGGTGAGGTGTGTGTTTGATTTCATGTGTTGGCATTATACTTCTGGTAGTATTACTTGTGAATTTGGCATGTAAAATTTATGTTAATAGTGTAGGATAAAATCCAAATTCTGAAGGATAATAATTTTTGAATTTTCTAGTCTGATTTATTTTGGGTCTATGTCTTAAAGCGCAAGACAAGATTTCTGATTTTGAGATGAAGCTGATGGACATCGATAGTGAACACCTTGGAATTCCAGAGGCAGAATACCATTCTATTGTTAGGATGCCATCTTCTGAGTTTGCTAGGATCTGCAAGGATCTCAGTAGTATTGGTGACACTGGTAATCAGCTTTGCTCATCAATTTCAGGGGTTTCATAATGCTTGTCCGTTTTCTAATGGAAATTATTCTAAGAAATGTTGTTTATTTTGTGATTTATGTTGTAGTTGTCATTTCGGTTACTAAGGAGGGTGTAAAGTTCTCCACCAAAGGAGATATTGGAACTGCGAATATAGTCTGTAGGCAGAATACTACTGTGGACAAGGTAAGATGTTGATTTGCTTCTTATTCTCTGCTCCAACCGTATGTGTTTTTTAAGCTTTATATAATTAACTCTATTTGTTTTTATATTCATGTTTATTAGTTTAAATGCATGCTGATTGACATTTTTATATTGGTTCTTTTTGTGGGTTAATATGCAGCCTGAAGAAGCCACTGTCATAGAGATGCATGAGCCTGTGTCTTTGACATTTGCACTGCGATATATGAACTCTTTTACGAAGGCAACACCTTTGTCTAACATAGTTACCATTAGTCTGTCAAATGAGCTGCCAGTTGTGGTTGAGTACAAGATTGCCGAGATGGGTTATGTGCGGTTCTATTTGGCTCCCAAGATAGAAGAGGATGAAGAAGAAACTAAACCCGAAGCTTAGCCTGTTTAGTTGTTGGATTAGTATATTACGTTTTGTAATTCGTTTGAAGTTGTAGGATGCCTTTATACATCTATTGAAGATATTTTACTTGGGCAAAAGAATTGGGAATCTATGAATGCTATTGGCTCCTTGCCACCTCATTTTCCACCATTTTATTGTTCTTTAGACCATTGTTAAATCTTGGATGTGTACTTTTCATACTAACGCATTTTTGTTTTTAATATTTTCATGAATTGGAAGAATTGTGTGACAAAATGTTGAATCCTAGCAAAAAGCATGAACTTGACATATTTGATTGCTGATAAGCTCTTTACCGTAATCATGCTCAACAAGTTGAAGAGCAAAAGCCTCAGTGACTGAAGCTGCCATAATGTAAAGAATATTAAATTGAGGCACTTGATCATTGTAATAATGCACAAAAATTTATAGGTAAAAAAATATTATACCAGAGTTAAAGATTAAAGGCAAATATTACATAGAATCAAAGTTTTCTGCCGGTCCACTAAATCGCAAATCCTATTCCAAACCTAATTCCTAACATTTGCTCAGCAACTTAGTTGATTCTCTTCACTGCTCACGATTGCTTAGGCATATAGTACAACTTCCAAACCTTGGATGTGTACTTTTCAGTTTTCATACTAACGCATTTTTGTTTTTAATACTTTCATGAATTGGAAGGATTTTGTAATAAAATGTTGAATTCTAGCAAAAAGCATGAACTTGAGACGATCCTTTTTAATTACTGATAAGCTCTTTTACCGTCATACTCAAGTTAAAGAACAAGGGTCTTAGTGGCTGAAGCTGCCACAATGTATAGAATATTAAATTGAGACACTTAGTCATTGTATATGATGACACTTAGTCATTGTATATGATGGACGGACACGACACGATATGGGATACGGGACACGACACGCTGATACGTTAATTTTAAAAAATGACATATTGCGACACATTGGGATACTTTTTGATATTAAATAATTTTTTTAATATAATTTATTTCTAATACATATAAGTTATAACAGTCCATAATAAGTCATATAACCAATTAAATATTCAAATTTTATAATATAAATATAATTTTTTTTTTTTTTGTATTTTTCATATCAAATTTCATAATAGAAAAAATTGATTTATAAATGATTTTTTTTATTTTTAGTTAATAAAAAAAAATTAAGACTAAAAAAAAAAAAACGTGTTGGAACGTTGATCACGTGTCGAAAAAAGTTGACTATGTGTCGAAAAAATGTGTCGGAGCATGTCAGAGAGTTGATCGCATGTCTTAAAATATTGATCGCATGTCGAACGTGTGTCCGCCGACACGCATTTTTTTTTTAAAAAAAGTCGGGATAACAGAGGTCATTGCAATATGCACAAAAATTAAATCATCTTCCATTAAATTTATAGGTAAAAAATATAATAACAGAGTTAAAGATTGAAGGCAAATATTACATAGAATCAAAGTCTTCTGCCGGTCCACTAAATCGCAAATCCTATTCAAACCTAGTCCCTAACATGTGCTCAGCAACTTAGATTGCTCATGATTGCTGGGGCATATAATACAACTTGCAAGTTAAAAATTTGTCTAAATATGAACAATGGCTCGCTGAAGGTGTAAACTTTTTACATTTTCAACGAATCAAATATTAAATTTTAAAAGTATTTTGTAAGGAAACATTTTCAATGGTTGAGTGAGCAGGTTAAAAAGTGGATAAAAGCAGTGTGATCTAATGAGGCAAAATTTGGGTTAAATGAGTCATGTATCTCATTTACTCCGTTTCTTGGCTTCACTATATAGGATAACTCCAATAACTGTGAGAGAATATCCAAGCATTCCAGTCACTGATACAGGATTTCGAAATATCAAAATGGAGATAACAACTGCTACAGCTCCTTTTGCATTTCCCAGGACCTGGCAAAGTCACCATATGTCTTCATGTTAATGATGTACAATATCATCATAAAAAAAATGCATGGTTATATGTGAACTAGTATCACCAAATTATATTATTACCTCAATCAAACCTTCTCCCCTATTTAAACTAGAACTCGTTTATATGAGGTTGAAAATGTCAGGAACTTGGCAATTCATCATGCAAAAGCTAACATGGTCAAAACTCCAAAAGTAAAGGTCCAAAACAGTATATCAAAAGAAAAAGGGGGAAAAAAGCTTCCAGGAATGTAGCTTTTTTAAGCCAAGACAACCTTTATAATCTGTGTAAGACTTTCAGATAAATGGAATGAATAGAATACAGAGTGATAAGCAGATATCATATGAGCTCAATTGATCAACTCATAAATCTTTATGTTTATGCATCATATTTCTCATAGCAAAACAGTTTTGTAAAAGCCCTTTCCAGTGGATGTTCCATTTTGCACTTCAAACTGAACATTGCTGTCTAATGTAAAGAACCTTGGGATACACCACCTCAAAAGCTAGCTCAAGGGGTAGGAGTGTCCAAGGCCTTATAAACTCTACATTAGTTACACATACAACCAATGTGGGACTATATATCTCAACACACCCCCTCACGCAAGAGCCCTTTAGGCTAGAAGCGTGGAATTTGCACAAGCCCAATTTTTTGGTTTATCTTTTTGTGCTTTTTATTTTAATTCCACTTTAAAGTGGGGGACAGTGAGACTCTGATACCATGTAAAGAACCTTGGGATACACCACCTCAAAAGCTAGCTCAAGGGGTGAGAGTGTCCAAGGCCTTATAAACTCTACATTAGTTACACATACAACCAATGTGGGACTATATATCTCAACATCTAATAAATAAAAAGCGATAAAATAAGTAGCTGAGAATAAAGAAATAGTAGTTCCATATCTAATTATTTTTAGGAGAATTGATGATTTGAGAAATTCCTATAATTTCAATGGGGAAAGGGAGAGAGGGATGATTACCTGAAGTGTTAATGCACTGGTGTGCTTTGTGACTAAAAAATTGGTCAAATTGACAAAATATGCCAATGCAGAATTGAAGATAAGCAACCACGTAATACTTGAATCATCTCTGGCAAGTTGAATTGCAATTCCAACTACATCTTGCTCCATTATAATTGAAGCTGGAAGAAGGAACGCAACAGCCACTGGTGCCATGTACATAAGAAGGTTCATAGAATTAAGCTTTTCCCTGAGAAATCAAAGATACCATTTTAGTACCAACCTGGCCAAAAATCTTCAAGATACAATGTTATGCATGACACTCATTCAATCAGCAGTGCATTATAAGAAACCACCAATGTTCTAATAGAATGGTACCAAAGTTTGAGCACATTACCCTTCAGAAGAAAGCAAGACCCCTTGAAGTACTGTTTTGAGTGCCCTGGCTGCTGTCGCACCGATGCACATTAAAAATCCAAATAGATGAAAACTCGGTTCTCCCTTCATCCATGTAACATAAGAGAAAAGATACAATAAAAATCAATAAATGTAGCTTGTAACAACAAACATAAACCCATTTTCATCCACAAGAATGACATAACATATAGACACCTAGCAAATCGGACATAAGAAAAAATTATACCAAGTAGTGGCAACTCCTCCAATTACCAAAATTATTAGGCAAAAACTAATTCAGAGCATATTTTCAAAATGAAAATTCAAAGAAATAAAAGAAAATCTTATATATTACTCTCAAATATATAACATTGTAAAGGGCAAACTCCATACACAAAGTTCCCCAACTAATACTAAGGGCAAAGGGAAAATCCTGGTGTACGAGATTCCCCGACTTGGGAAGATAAGAGTTAGAATTGATTGCACGCAGTCTTACCCTTGTATAACCTTGCATTTTTGTTGTTTCTCATGTTTGAACCCATGACTTACCGGTTGCAAGGAGCACCCAGGCTTGCTCTGGTTACCAAACTAATATATAACATGATAAACAACTTAAAAATAAAGAACTAAAATTGCTTGCCCTGCTCAAATTCACAATTTCCCAACCATAGAAAACAAAATATGTATACAAGTACATGATATATTTCCCAAAAGTTTAAAGCTGCACGGGCCCATCAACAATTCAGCTTTTTATTAGAATTAGAAGAATGGAGGTGTAAGAATCAAACTCTATACCACTTGCTCATAAAAACTCTTAACACAATGTTATGAACCAACTTTTCCAAAAATTTAAAAGGTTAGATGAAATCCCATGAATGATTTTATTATATAATAAGAGATTTATATTATATCTAGCATTATACAACACAAAACAAAAACAGACACCAAAACAAGAAAGTGATAAAGAGAGATGAGAAGAGATACCCCACTAGCAATCATAACACCAGTAACAACAGGGATGAGAGTTATGTATGTGAGCCAACTCTCTCTCCTGAGGGTCATCAGGTAAGCAAACACTGCCGTGAAAAACGGCGTGGTGGCGCCAACCGCTTGGTTAAATGACACAGGGAGGTAACGGAGAGAGATGTTCCCTCCCACCACAGACAAGCAGAATATAAGTCCTAACGATGATATCTTCATAAATTGCACACGTGACCGCACAGTTTGCATTGGCACAACCTTGAGCCATGATATGGCAATGTAACTGAGGATTGAACATGCCATCATGTGGCACAGAGTTAAGAATATTGGGTACTTGAACCCGTAGTTGCTTAACAAGTACTTGTTCAACAACAACACTCCAATGTTTGAAGCATACCAGAAACTTATCAACCCCACCGTGAAGAGCCTTCCAGACATTGAAACCTTCATTGTAATGTGTCAATTGAGGTAACGTTATTAGTGCTAGTTTTTTTTTTTCTTTTTTCTTTTTTGTTTCTTAGAGACCAAAATGGTGTTGAAAATCTGGGAGAAACTAAAGGGGGGAGATAAAAAAAAGTTGAAGTTTGTAACTTTGATGGATAAAGAGAGGATTTTGATAATGTGGGTGGAATGAAGGGTGGATTGAAGAGATGGGTTTTGGTTTTGGGAGGAAGGAGGAGAAAGGGTGAAGAGAGAGAAAGAAAAAATGGATGATGCAGAGTGAGAAGCTCTGTGAAGGTGAAGTGTTTGGAGAATGTTATTACTGAGTCCTATATCAGAGGGGATATTATCAGTTATACTATTATCAAAATAATCAGCTTTTTATCCAAAAAAAAAAAAAAAAAAAAAAAACTTTTTAAATTTAAAAGAAGAAGAAGTTGTTGTTGTTGTTTTTTACAGTTAAGCTTGCATTGCATGTGTTGAATAATGTCTACTAATAAACTGGATATGTAGAATTACATTTTGAATTTACAAGAATGACAATAAGAGAATTTAATCTGGAAAGGGGAGTTGAATATAAGAGTTTATTTTGCATTTAAATTGGGATACAAATTTATATATTTGAGATAATCTATTATATTATTCATTTCTAATTTGTGGTGACTGTTAGTTCCTAAAAATTAGGAGTAATGATCTTTAATATATATATTAATTAAATAAACAGCCTTAACATTTTTTTAAGTACAAAAATTTTGGGGAAAAATGTTACTGTATTCCAGACCTTGGGAGAGTTTTTTGGAATGAAAAACTAATATGCATTTTTTATAAATTTATTAAATTATGTATTAGAAAAAATATTTTTCCTTTTAAAGAATAATTATTTTAATTGTTATGACTGTTTTTTTATGTAATATTTAAATTAAAAAAAGATCCACTTTCTCTCACTATAATTTTTATTATGTAACTATTTCTATTACCATAAAATATTATAATTTTGACTAATATAACATAATTTTATATGTTTTAAAAAGACAAACATTAATCCTTATTCAGATATATGTTGTGTGTTGGTTTTTTTTCCCATCTAAGCATTCTTCATATATTGTTACCACTCATTGTGTATTTACTTAGCTTATCGATAGTATGATTTCATGAGGCCTATAGTTTATTGATTTAGAGTCTGTTTGGACACTCTTATTTTTAAGTTAGAAGTTACTTATGAGTTAAAGCTAAAAAAAGAGCTTAAAAAAAAGAAGCTAAAAGCTGTTTGGTAATTATATAAAATTTTTAGCTTAAAAATTGCTTAAAAGCACATGTTCCAAGAAAATTATCTCTCTCTCTATCTTTATAACTCTTCATTTTAAAAAGAAGCACACAATTAAAAAAAACAGATAAGAGCTTAAAAAAAGCTCCTCCTAGGAGCTTTTAGTTTTCAGCTTTTTTCTTCATTATAAAAAAAAGAGCTTTTCATTATAAGAGCTTTTCCCAAAACCTGTTGGCCTAGCTTATGCTTATAAGTAGCTTCTAACTTAAAAAAGAGAGTATCCAAACAGGCACTTAGGATCCGTTTAGATGGGCTTTTGAAAAAAAAGACTTTTTATGATTTGTTTTTTTAAAAGTTAAAATTATTTTGTGTTTGGATATAATATTAAAAAGTATTTCTAAGTAAAAATGTCATTTGAAGGTTAAAATAAAAAATCACTTTTTAATTATAAAACGTCTGCCCTTATGGATTCAGCTTCCTTTCAACTACGCAAAAAATTTGTGCAAAACTGAAACTAAAACTAAAACTTCGATTCTTCAAGGTTGAATATTTTCGAAGAGGAAGTGTGGAAGAGGCCGGCGACGATGAGTGGCGGGAGGGTTATTACGTGATTGTTGAATTAAAATCAAAAATCAATACCATAAAAGGTACACGATAGAAGATATCATAAACAAAAACTTAAAAAGAAGAGTAAATACTTTTTTTGGTCCTCGGCAAATTTTTCGATACCCGTTTTAGTCCCTAGCAAATAAAAAGGCCCATCGTGGTCCCTAAAAAATTCAAAATGGACCCATTTAGTTGAAATCGAGGTCCCTCACAAATTCAAAAAAGACCCATATTAGTCCCTAAAAGGACTAAAATGGGTCCATTTTCAATTTATTAGGGACCACGATGGGCCTTTTTATTTGCTAGGGACTAAAACGGGCATCGTGAAATTTCCCGAGGACCAAAAAGAGTATTTACTCTAAAAAGAAACTACAGGGTTTGTGAAAAACGGTGCTAGGGTTTGTGCCGCCATAGAAGTGTCCGATCAATCTGAACAATTTGCGCCATCAAAGGAGGAAGCTGACATCCTTCAACGGTCTACTAGAAAGAAGAAGAGGGAGGAAGATGAGTTCAGCTATGATCAAACTCTAAAGTCTAGAGATGAGGAGTGGATGCATGAGAGGATGTCTTACAAGGAGATGGTCTTGAGACATAATGGGGAGTGGAATCCCATGGAGGATCAATGTCAGGCAGAGGATGAAGACGCACATGAAGATTTGGTGAATGAAAATCCTATTGAGAAACCAGAGGTTACATGTGTAGTTGATGGAGATGGAAGGACCAATTTCCTGCTATTTGACAAATTCAAACGAAAAGTATGGCGTCCTTGGCATCAGGCAGTGTATATGAAATTGCAAGGTAAAAAGCTTTCGCTCTCATTCATGAAGAAACAATTGGAAAACATGTCGGCAAGGGAGAGGCATTTGTTGATTACTGATGTAGAAAATGAGTTTTTCCTAGTAAGATTTTCAGAGAAAAAAGATGTGGAGTATGCCTTGATAGCAGGACCGTGGGTGATTATGGACCATTATTTGGTTATTTGATCTTGGGAACCTGACTTTCAGCCATTCCAAGCTGCAATTAATAGGGTTATGTAATGGGTTAGACTTCCTCAGTTCCCAATCGAATATGTTAATACAGGTCTATTGAAGAGCATAGGGAACTGGATTGGTAAATTCATCAAGTTAGATGCTTCTACTAGATCCTTAGCAAGGGGTCGTTTTGCTAGGATTTGTGTGGAGTTAGACTTGGGTAAGCCTCTCCAATCAGAATATAAAGTTGAAGGAAGGCTGAAAAAGATAGAGTATGAAGGGCTACATATTGTGTTTTTCATATGGCCAATATGGACATAGAGCTGAAAACTGTCCCAAAAGCATTAGGTTAAAGGAATCAGAGAATAAGGAAAATGCTCATCCAGTTGGTTTGGGTCATGAAGAAGGGAGTGGAGCTGGTCATTCACAGGATGTAGAGGGCAATTATGGCCCTTGGATGCTTGTTACCAAGCAGAGAGGTCCAAAGAAACTGCAGGTTCAAAAATTGGAGAATAATAGAGATAAAGTTACTCCGAATCAAAAAGGATTGGGGGCAAATGTATCTAAATTTGATGCGTTGAAGATGGTGGATCCACGGAATGTTAATTTGGAGAATGTTGAGATTGTGAGGGAGACTCCTCTAGATCAGACTAAAGAGCTCAATACAAAGTCGCATGAGAAAGAAAAAAGGGGCCAGAAAGACAAAACTAAACTAATTGAAACTGCCACAGCGTATCAGTTGGTTTGGGACACTATATAGGATACATATGCCTACAATAAGGAAGGGAAGGTAGATAATGTGGAAACTCTTTCTGACAAATCTAAGTCAAAACTTACTGCTTTATGTCCAGAATCGTGGGAATCAAAGGAGGGAATGGCTGTAGACGAGCAACCTTCTCTTGGAACTGAGGTTAATAAATTAATAGAGCTGCCTTCTATCCAAAATATTGTCTCACAGGGAATGGAAGAGATAAGTCAGCCGAATGACCAACTTATGAATGATGTGGAGATTCCTCCTAGTCCTAAACCACCAGATCAATATAGGCGAGGACAGAAGCATAGTGTCAGGCAGGAAATGGATTGCAATATGGTAGAGATTAAAGACAGCCCTGTAGCTGTGAAGAAGGAGCAGGTTCCCTTTAAACCTATAACAAAGTCCATTAGTTATTAATGAATATTCTTGTTTGGAATGTAAGAGGTGATGCTAAAAGAGAATTGGGTGGTGCTTTAAAATCTATGGTTAACAAGAATCATGTGGAAATTTTAATCCTCCTTGAACCTCGTACGCATAGTGGGGTGTGTAAAAAGCTGGAGCGAAAACTTGGTTTTAACAGTTATCTTGTGGAGGAAGCCGTCGGGTTCTCGGGAGGTATCTGGATCTTATGAAATAATAGAAAGGTAGATGTAGTGCTTCTTGCCCAAGCTTCTCAGTTCATTCATTGTAAGGTCAGTTTTTCAAATGTACACTCCTTTATTTTTACTGCGATTTATGCTAATCCCCTTCAAAGTACCCGCGAACTGCTATGGAATGATCTCAAGAGTATTAGTGAATCTATCTCTGATCCTTGGATCCTTGGGGATGACTTCAATGAGATAACATTTATTCATGAGAAAAAAGAGGTGTAGCACCTGACCCTAATAAATGTGCAAAATTTGCTTCTATTCTCCATGATTGTCAAGTGGCAGATTTGGGTTGTGATAGATCTTTCTATACATGGCAAGGTCCAAAATGGAGAAGCATGGGCAGAATTTTCAAGCGGCTGGACAAAGTGGTGGCTAATGTGTCCTGGAGAATGAAGTTTGATGAAGCTAGAGTAGTTTCTCTTCCTCGTCTACTATCAGATCACAACCCTTTACTGATCAAATTATTTGAGGAAGTTAATGATAAAGGCAAGAGACCATTTCGTTTTTTCGCTGCTTGGCAAAAACATCACAATTTCAGTGACTTTCTTAAATCAAAGTGGGAGCAGGATTTTGATCTTCCTTATATGCTTCAAAGGCTGGTACCCGGAATCAGAATTTGGAATATAAGGGTCTTTGATATTATTGAAACTAGGAAGAACATCATTATTAGAAAAATTTCTAGCTTACAAAAAAGACGTGAACAATTTGACACAGATCATCTGAAACATGAGGAGGAGAAATGCCAAAAAATGATGACTAATGCA